TCTTCATGGAGAGGCAGACCAAACCAATATTATCAATAAAGGCTTCTAATGTTTCTCCCCCTAATCCTGAGTACTTATTTTCGTTTCTTTCATTTGGTCCAACGGATTATTATGGTTTGCTATGATTTTCCCGTGATTTATTCGTATTGTTTTATACTCATAAGGTATGTAATAACTTTTGAGCAAACACAAGTATTTAATCTTAAACGAACCATAAATAGCGAATCTTCTCCGATTTGGTAAAATGAGATGGATTTTTGGTGAACTATTGGTTTTAAAATAAGATTTAGTGCAAGAAAACATATGCAATTAATTTCCCAAAAACAGAAAACAAAAATTCACTCAAAGGTATGCATTTCGTTGAAAACCAGCTCAAATATCCTCCAAAGTCATTTTCTTTAATGCTACAACAATAATCTATCTTCTGCTACACCAAATTTTATATATATATATAAAATTTATATATAGTGTCAGTACTAAATTGAAAAAAATTGAGAGCTTCATAAGGCCTTTAGTACTGGTCTACTTAATCAATATTCTGTTTTTATTTAAATCAAAGAGTTAGACCGACCGCGATAATAGAAAATGTTCACTCACAGAAATTGTCACGATCCGGATTTCCCACCCTCGGGAGTCGTGATGGCGCCTACTAGTGAAAGTTAGGCAAGCCAACCAACTGAATTATTTATCTGGTTTCCACTTCTGAATTCATTAACAACTTAGAATCAACAAGTAATAAACAACATAATTTAACGAGCGGAAGGATAAATTTCAAACTTAAAAATACTGCCAATACAATTCCTTAACAAAACTACCCAATATTTGGTATCACAACTTCATAGACTGTCTAAGAGTACTACAAATAAGGGTTTGAAAGAAATAACAAAGTACTGCCTCCGGGACTACATAAAAGAAACAGGAAAAATAGATAGAGGGAGACGCCAAGGCCTGCGGACGCCTGCAGGACTACCTCGGGTCGCCTGATGAACAAGGAACGGAAAATCTCACCGCCGTCCGAAATCTGCAGCACTGGGATATGCACAAAAGAGTGCAGAGTGTAGTATCAGCACAACCGACCCCATGTGCTGGTAAGTGCCTAGCCTAACCTCGGCGAAGTAGTGACGAGGCTAGGACAAGACTACCAAGTAACCTGTGCAGATAAATAATGTACAGCGGAAAATAGAAGCAAAAATATACGGTCAAGGCTGGCAGGGGGAAACATGCTGTGGGGTAATATCAAATAGCAACAGGAAGACGCCAGTTAAATATATGGAATACCACAATTCAATTATCAACAAGAATCGAAAGCCAAACAAGTGCACGGCATCACCCTTCGTGCTTTTACTTTCATCCTCACCAAAAATCAATGTAAACTGCACGGCATCACCCTTCGTGCTTTTACTCTCATCCTCACCATAAAATCAATATAATCGGCACGGAATGGTACATCGTGCGGCACGGCATCACCCTTCGCGCTTTACACTCTTCTTCACAAAATAATACACGGCATCACCCTTCGTGCTTCAACACTCTCTCACCAAAACAATGCACGGCATCACTCTTCGTGCTTTACACTCTTCCTCACCCAAACAACAAACACAAACAATAAGGGCAAGCAATAAATGAATCATAATAAAAATCCCGGCAAGGGAACAATATCAAAACCAAAACATCCCGGCAAGGGAATAACATTAAAAGCAACCACGTCCCGGCAACCATAAACCTTTTCTCATTTTCACATTTATCTCACAACTAGCTTCACAATTTGAGCCAATGCTCTATAAGGTTCAATTGCCAATTATACTTTCACAAATCACTTTGCAACTTGAGCCAATGCTCTTCAATATACAAATACCACCATTTTTTTCACAAACCTTGCTCAACAATAGCAATCACCGCATAAAACATGAGCAATACAATGGAGTCACATAATTCACAACACAAGACTCACGGGCATGCTTGACACCAACGTATAGATACTCGTCACCATGCCTATACGTCGTACTCTACACATAACACATAGCATATAAGACCAAACTCATATTCCCTCAAGCTAAGGTTAGACCAAACACTTACATCGATGCCACGGACACCGATCAAGCCTCAACTATCGCTTTACATCTTGATTCCACCACCAATTCGCTCGTATCTAGTCACAAGTTACTTACTTACATCAATGAATGCTAAATGAATAAATTCTATTGCATGGAAATAAGTTTTCTAGAGTTTTTTCCAAAAAGTCAAAAATCGACTCCAGGCCCACATGGTCAAAACCCGAGGTTCGAACCAAAACCCGACTACACATTCACTCACGAACTCAAATATATAATTTGTTTTGAAATCGGACCTCAAATCGAGGTCCAAATCCCCAAATTTTGAGAAAACCTAGGTTCTACCCAAAACATCCAATTTCCCCCATGAAAATCTTTGATTTGAGTTGAAATCATGTTAAAAGATATTAAGGATTAAAGAAAACTAGTTAAAAATGACTTACAATTGATTTGGAGAAGAAGTTGCATTTGAAAAATCGCCCTAGAGTGTTTATGTTTTGAGAAGATGTGAAAAAGGGTTAAAAATTCGTCTAAGTATGGATTTCACAGGTCTCTGATGTCGCAATTGCGATCAGGGTTCGCAATTGCGAACCCAGACTTTGCTAAGCTCGCATTTGCGAAGATAAATGTTGCATTTGCGAAGTCGCTTTTGCGATCAATCTGTCGCATTTGCGACACTGGGTAAATCCGGGCCTCTTCGCAAATGCGATGGCCCTTTCGCATTTGCGACATCGCATTTGCAATGATATTTACGCATTTGCGACCCCAAGACATACCAGGTCTCTTCGCATTTGCGATAAATTCCTCCATTTGCGAGGTCGCATTTGCGATATGCGAAGCCTGCAGACCTGCAAGGCTGCAACATACCAGCAACTCCTAAGTCCAAATTTAACTCCGTTGCCTATCCAAAACTCACCCAAGCCCTCGGGGCTCCAAACCAATCATGCACACCAACCTAAAACATCATACGGATTCGCTCATGCATTCAAATCACCAAAATAACATCAACAACTATGAATTTAGCATCAAAATCATGAAATCACTTAAGAACATCAAATTTCCAATTTTTCTAAAATTAGGTCCGATTCACGTCATTTCAAGTCCGTTTCTTACCAAATTTCACAGACTCGTCTTAAATCACATATAAGACCTGTATCGGGCTCCGGAACCAAGATACAGGCCCGATAGCATCAAATTTCAAACACATTTCATTTTAAGAAACTCATATATTTATTTTTTCAGAAAATAATTTTCTTCGAAAATTTATTTCTCGGGCTAGGGACCTCGGAATTCGATTCCGGGCATACGCCCAAGTCCCATATTTTCTTACGGACCTCCCGGGATCGTCAGAACACTGATCCGGGTCCGTTTACTCAAAATATTGACCGAAGTCAACTTAAATTCATTCTAAAGGCAAAACTCATTATTTTTCACAGATTTTCATATAATGGATTTCCGGCTACGCGCCCGGACTGTGCACGCAAATCGAGATGAGGTAAAAAGAGGTTTTTAAGGCCTCGAAAATGCAGAATGAGTTTCTAAAACAAGTGATGACTTTTTGTAGAAATGGCATGGGGTAGCCACTATTTAAGGTGGTATTTATTTTTTATCCAGCAATTCTAATGTTGAGCAAAAATAGCCACTGCCCTATTAAAATTAATGTGAAAAGATATTTTTACCCTTTCTTCCCTTGCTTTACTTCCCAAACCCTCGCTTCTCTCTCTGCGTGCCTTCTCCATAATCCAAAATGAATGTTTACGTTCTTATTTCACTTTCGTCGTAGCCATATAAGAAAGGAGACCAGAAAAAGTCTTTTCTTCATCGTTGTACTACTATTTCTGCAGTGTGTCTGCAATTATTAATACTATTAGAATTATTAGTGTGAACAACAAATATTTTCAAGACTTGCTTCAGAATAATATCAAGACTCTATGACTTAGATCCATTATCTTTCCCATTTCACTTCTTGGGAATTGTTCTTATTATAGTACCAAGCCAACATAAACCTCAAAAAACAGTTTGCCAAAAAAAAAAAAAATTCACCTGCTTTTATTCCTGCTATTTTTGAGGTACTTCTCAATTCTTTTTTCTTTGCTTGTTCTTATTCATTTTCTATTTTTTCTAACTTACATAGGTCCTTAACTTTGATTTTCAAGTTCAAAAGTTAAGGACAGACAGTCCTTAACTTACAGTTACACATTCAAAAGTTAAGGACAAGCAGTCCTTAACTTACAGTTACAAGTTCAAAAGTTAAGGACAATAGGTCCTTAACTTTGACTTACAAGTTCAAAAGTGAAGGACGCTTGGTCTTGAAGTTTGAGTTCCAAGTTCAAAAGTTAAAGACATGTAACCTTGAAGTCCTGAACTTAGAGTTCCAAGTTCAAAAGTTAAGGACTTGTAGTCCTGAAGTCCTGAACTTAGAGTTACAGGTTAAAAAGTTAAGGACATGTAGTCTTGAAGTTCTGAACTTAGAGTTTCAAGTTCAAAAGTTAAGGACATGTAGTCCTGAAGTCCTGAAGTTAAGGACATAAGCAAAAGGGTATTTTCGTCCGGGCAGTTAAAGTTTATTAAACTAGTGGCTAAAGGCTAAAGACATTTAAAACACTGGCTTTAAAATAAAGACATGAGCTGTTAGTGGCTATTTGTGCACATCGCCCTGACTTTTTGGGTCATCACAGAAATAGCCGGAATTAAACATTCGATGAACCCAATTCTTTGAAGTCGAACGTTAATTTATATATGGGTGCAAAAATAACTATATGTAGATTTAGATTAACGTTAATGCTTTGATAAAAAGTGTTTAAGCATATAATCAATTATTCTATTCTACTGTGCTATGAAGTAATTAACTACAAACGGTCTAATGAGCCTGTATGAAATTTCTGTATTTCTTTCATTGAATTAGGTAAGAACATAAAGACTCGTCGCGTACATGATATGTATAAATATTCAAAATAAAATGTCAATCATATTCATGGCTAAGTTCTCCATCATCAAATATTCCACTTCTCCTAAGCAATTCATCTTACTGGTTCCATTCCCTGCATTTTCAAACACACAACATTTGAATAATGCCCTACTAAAACTACGTACAAGGTTAACGTCTAATTCTCCTCCTTCCAGTGCCATTGGATTAATCAAACTTAATAGGTCGTTTGGAAAAAAGCTTGTGCTCATTTTAATTAAGCTAAATTTTGTTTAAAGGACTTAGCTTATATAATTGTCAGTATAAAAAGACTACGTATACTATTAGCGTTATTTAATCTACTAATATATTGTAACATATTATTTATTGTACTTCTCAAGTGACTAATTCAACTTATTATACACATTTACAAGTAATTATCTTTGGGTGACATAATAGTATATATAAAAATCATTTTAAACTGACATCATATATAAGTTTTTTTTTAAGAGATCGGAAGTAGTATAGTGAAACAAGAAGAGACATGCATACCGTGAAAAGAATTAGGCATGGTTTGGTTGAAGACTGGATATTTGTTGAACTTCTTGAGAGGACAAGAGGAAAGTGGAAGAATTGGTATATTTTGACAATTACAGATCTCAATCATGTTGCCATCTGGATCATGAAAGAAGAGTTGATCCACAGTGACTCCACCTTCTTTTACAGTTGCTATTACATACTCAACCTTCATTTCGTCCAATCTTCGAATAATGAGATCCATATCGGAACATTGGAATGAAATGTGGTTATCTTTTGGGTTTATTATCTTTCCATTCTTTGATGGTGCGTCTTCTTTTCCTAGCAAATGAACTCCAATTCCGTGGTTGAACAACCTGCAAAAATCAACCGAGAATAATTGATTTATATAATTTCCAAATACTGGCACAAATGCATGTAAAAGCAAACACAAAATATGAATTCATATGGTCATACCAAGCTCCATCAAAGTCGAAGGAAGAGGGCCTCTGGATGAGAACAAAACCAAGAACTTGCTCATAGAATTGGACAGTGATCACGCCCAACTATGCCTTATAAAAAGGACTAAGCGGACGTTGCAAATATAACCCGAGTATTACGCCCAGGGTCGAATCCACAGAGAGTTAACCTATCAACTACTATCTTCAGACCCACTAATTCTTCAGAACCAGCTTCCCAAATATTCAAATCTCAGTTGAGTGTTCTTTAACGACTAGCTTGCAAGTAACTAAATAGCTGTAAACTAAACTAATGAGTTTGTAAACAATTATGAGGAAAAGCTAAGGCAATGATTTCCCCTATTGATGGAATCCCTTCTGTTTATGCTCATACAAATTTACCCACACATCTCTATCAATCATGAACGCTAATCTTACCGCAAATCTCTCCCGAGTAATCACAGTAATTTACTATTGCACTCTCCCGAGATACACTAGCTTACTTTATTTAGCACGATTCACTTTAGATTACGCCCAAGGCTTCGTTATCCCTAATCCCGCCTTTAAACCCGCAATTATAGATTCCTCTAATAATCTAGGAGTGATGTTGTTCAACAATAACCTAAATATGCACTCTTTTCCAAGTTATGCACACTAAATAGGCACTACTAATTGAGGATCATGTCAATTAACTACAACGAATACGAAGTTGAACAAATAGAGATTAAACTAGCAATTTGTATTCACATAAACAAGAAGTTCATCACCCAATAGGTTCCATCAAAACCTTAGACAAGGAATTTAGCTACTCATGGCTATGGAAAAATAAACTAAGATTGAATTCATCATAAAAATCAAAAGAAAAGAAGAAAGATGTTTAGAGTATTCTCTCACAATGGTTTTCCTTGCTAAGAAACCTTAAAAATCAATACATGCCTCTCTTGGGCGAAGTCTAATGTTTTAAATAGGGTTTAGGTCTAAAAATCCCGTAATTGACACTTTGGTCCCTGAAGTTTCTGCGCCTGCCGCGGTTCTGCCGCGGTCGCGGTAGAACCGCGGCCAAACACCCTCGCGGAATCCTTGAAGTTCTGTAGCTGCTTTCCACCGCGGTTCTGCCGCGGTCGCGGTGGACCCAGTGCTCTGAATCTTCGGCCTGTTTTGCATGGTTCACTTGGGAAATTTCACAGTTGGCCTCTTTTTCATCAATTTTGACTCCAAAACTGCTCCTTAGCCTTCCTTATACATATATCACCTGCAAATCATGAAAAGCACTAATAAGAGCATTTTGTTATCACTTTTAACATTAAAACTACACAAGAAGGTGATTATTTAAGGTGTGATTATAATCAAATTCACCTATTATCAAACACTTTTGAGAACAGATTTGCAGACATAGGAAACATGGTTCAGTGCTAACAAAGGCATCCTTGTAATTTCTTCATGATCAGATGAGGATGATGTCGTTGACGATGGCCAGTTGAAGTTTGTCTCCTCATGACCTAATTCTGCTTTCACTATCTCTTTTCCCATTCTTTCTCCTAAGGAATTCAATTCCTCCCTTTATTTTGAGTAAATTAATGATAATATATCTTGGAATAAATAAATAAATAGATGGAAGAATGAATACTCCTTAAATTTCTGTGAGGAACTTTACATAGAAGTGCACACATATATATAAGCAAATGAGAAGGGTTTGTAGGTACTCACTCTTTCACTTGTACGGAGGATTGGGTTGGGTTAGGTGTGGAGGAGGGGTAAACCAATCCCCTCTGGCCCTCTTTAACTTCAGTTTAAATTAATTATTCATAATATCAAGGATTTACGCGATAAATAATCACGTCTTCGGTTCGGCAAAACAGAGTGTTCAGGATCAAATTCTGTATATAAGTAGTGCTAGAAAAAGCAAACAATAGCTACACCGCATATGTGTTCTTTATTTTAACTCGTACACGTAATCATGGTAACAAACAAAATGTTACCCACTGCAGCGACTATATTTGATGCCCTCCGATCGAGACTGTTACCCTTGCAAATGCAATAACACGTTTTCTTTTTCTTTTTATCCAAATTCTCCTAAGACTTTGTCAAAGCACATGACTCAATAGTGAATACTCACGTGCTTAAATCTGCTATATTCATTTCAGAGTGACGTGTCACTCCTAATCTCACACGGTTTCACTTATTGCTCTTTATTTATTTTCCTTTTCACCAGATGTTTTAACAAATCTTTGTTTGTTTGTTTTGTTTATCGTCGTTCAGAACTTTACTTTTACTAGTATAAGGGTACGCGCGTTACGCATGTATCCTATATTGATGAGAATTTTTTTAAAAAAAAAATGTAAATAACATTCAAAACATGGTTTTAGTCACAAAAAAATATTAAGTAAAAATTTGAGTTCTTGAAAATGATAAATATTGATCATGAAATAGACACACATATAAAGAATTTTATTCATTTATTCATGATCTTTTCTAATAATATTTATTTAATTAACAAATTAAATTAACGTATACAAAAAAATTTATTAGTAATTTGATATTAGAATGTCTTATGAATATTGCTTTTGTCTTAATAACCATGTATATTATGATTCGTTATGCAGAAATCAATAAAAATAGATAATTAAGTTAATAATTTAATCATAATATTATAATTGATTTCAAAATTATTAATATTAGGAAAAATAATTAAATGTCAATGTTATCCTATTTGAAATTTATTTTTAAGGGTAAAAAGGTTAATTAATATTTCGCTCTAAGGCTATGTGCTTTTATAATAGTTAATATATATTTTTATTGATTAAAGAAATATAACAACATATATTTTGCTCGCAAGAAAGAAAAAATATTTTCTTCAGTCTATTAAAATGAACTTGAAATAGCTAGCTAGCTTTTCAATTTTTTTAGAGAAATCTTCAAAAACTGTGTATTCTTGCTAAAACCGAAAATTTGAATATAAAGAATTTGAACTAAGTTTAATCTGAACATATTGAATGATGTTTGGGGAATTTTATAGGGTAGAATTTCTTCCTTTATTGAGGTAGTTATATATAGGATCAATATACATCAATTTCAAAAAATTAAAAATTTTACTTTTATACTCGAATATAAATTTAGTAAGTATATTTATATATTGAGATTAGGTACACACGCAACGCAAGTATTGTAAATTTTACCAAATAGTAAAGACTCCTAACCAAAAAGAAAATTTTGTGTGAGATTTAAGGCAAAAATATTTAACCAAAAAGATCACCTAAACCTAAAAAGTATTAACTACAAAATAAACGCATTTAATACACAAACATAGGAGCGAAAATTTAGGCTAGGCAGGATTTTTTTAACGACAAAAAGGTCTCCAGAACCTTAAAGGTATTAACAACTCCAACGTAGGGAGTAGAACGAATAGGAAAAATTTTAGGAAAATTTTTATCAACTTTCCTATACTGTTAATAATAGGAGATTAACTAAATAGCTATTCCTAAATTATAGGAGAATTAATTAAATAATTATTTCTAAATATTAATGAAATACTCAAATTACTGTTTTGTCTAGTGTGAACTCTATATTTTAAAGGGTAAAAAAGACGAACGACATTTCGCTAAGGGCCTTCGTGCTTTTAATATAGTATAGATATAGATTAAAGGGACCCTGGACCAATCTAGCCTTAAGCTTATGTGTTTTTATAAACTTAGTAAGTTTTGTCCAAACTCTATATTTGTATTAAAAAATTTATTATATATTTATAAACTCATTTATTATTGTAATATAACTTGAAGTTGTTGTATGGTCTTAAAGGTGTGACAATATACATTATGTCACACGCGGTAGGCCTCTTGGAAAGCTACCAAGTGCTATTTTGCTGCAGAACTAAAAAAAAATTAGAACATAAATGTGTCTAGTCTTCAATAGTTTAAAACTTGTCACAATTTAAAATGACATAAAAGGAAACGGAAATCTTGGTTGAAAGTCTCACTATTATTAAATATTTATCGAACAATTTCTTTTATATGTTTGGCAAAGAGTCCATCCCACACGCATGAGTGTAACATGAGAGGACTTGTAACAATAATTACAATTATAAATAATTATGTGTGTGGGCTATGTGTAATTTTTTTAAAGGTATATCCAATAGAACCGGGCGTCAAGCCGTGTAGGAAGACTCACCTAGCCACTATAGCGACCCTACCCCCAACTCTAGCTTATGTGTTTTTTCAAAAAAAAAAAAAAAAGAAAAATCTCTCTCTAGAGTGAGAGCTTCTCTCAGCTAAGGCTGAATATGGCGAGAAAGCAACGTACTGGAGGAAGAGGGCAATTAGAAACGGTAAATCAACAAAGAAATACAAGCATGAGAGCAATTCCGCAAATTGAAGATGCAAAGAAAATCAGAAGTATTAATGTGCTACAAGGAGTAATTCCGTTGGAGCTGAAGCAGACACCTATGGTGGGATCAAAGCAGACACCAATGGCAACTCCGATAGGTACGCAAACAATTAAGCAACAGGAAAATAACAATCAATTACAATCTAGGGGGGAACAATCATGGGCAGACAAGGTGGAAATTGAAGAGGAACCGATAGGTAAATCTCAAGCCCTAGCTGCAAATGGGAAATCCTGGAGTAAAATAGTTGGAAATACACCAATAACTGAGGGATTTGACCTAGAAGAAGTGAATTCTACTGCTAATGTCAAAATAACGATGGAAGATGTGAAAGAGGAAATAGAATACTGGCAAATAGCGGTTGTATGCTTTGTACTGGGATCAAATCCACCATTAACAGTGGTGGAGGGATACTTCAATCGCATATGGAAAGATCTGGGGATTGATAAGGTAGCTCAAATTTAAAAAGGTGTATACATGGTTAGATTCTACAGCAATGAAGGTCGCACAAAGGCAATTGAAGGTGGAGTGCAGATATTTGATCGAAAACCAGTGATAATTAAGTCATGGAAACCAGGAATGGAGATAACGAATGTAACTGTGGAGCAGGTACCTATATGGATCAGATTAGTGGGCCTAGATCTAAAGTGCTGGGGCAAGCAGCTCTAACAAAAATAGCGGGACTCGTGGGGAAACCTATGAAAGCTGATACAGCAACAACGAGAAAGGA